TCCCACCTCCTCTTCCGTATACCCCTAGAACCATTGATCCTGTTCTTTTCATCTCCAAATTGTTTATCCTGCCTATCTTACCTAGATAGACATGCAGAGATATTAATAAGTGCAAAAACCAGGCAAAGCCAAGCCACATGGAAGAAGCACACCAGCTTGTGTGATCATGAGGTGTTGATAGGATCAGGTATCAGACATCAAAGACCCAGAACAAAATCATACCCAATGTGATTGGGAGGCGGGGTGGGCATGGAGTGGAGACCCGGTGCCCATCTGTAAGCAAATGGACATCCCCTCAGAGGGGTCACAGGGAAGAGATGAGCCAGTCAGGGTACGGTATAGCACCGATGAAACCTAACTTTCCTCTAATTTGGTGCCTCCCCCCACTGTCATGACCTCAAGTCTACCTTACAAATCGATTAGACCAGAGCATGCACACTGCTACAGATAAGAGCCTGCAACACCAGGAATCCAGGATAGATAAGCCCCTCAGGGCCAACAAGGAGAGAGATACCAGGAGGATTCAGGGAGGGGAGGGAGAGAAAGGGAATTCATCACAAGGATCAACCTCCTCCCAAGGGAACGAACAATGGAAAGGTGGTGGAGGATGCTGTAAGATATGAAAGTAATAATCTATAACATCCAGGGGTTGTGGGGGAGGGAGGGGCAGAAATGGGAAGCTGATGCCAGGGGCTCAAGTGGGAACAGAATACTTTGGAAATGATAGCGACGTACAAATGTGCGTGACACAGATGAATGTATAGTTTGTGATAAGAGATGTAAGAGCCCCCAAGTAAAAGTAATAATAAAAGATTTTTTACCAGACCAATTTATATAACTTCATGTCATCAACATGTTTCTTTGGCTTAATGTTTTGGTAAATTTCTAAAGTGCAGGTGTACTGAAGGAGGAAGCCATGTGCTGATTGGATATAAAACTAAATTGACTGCTCTAGAGTCAGTTACAACTCATAACAACCCCGGAGAACAGAGTAGAACTTCCCATAGTGTTTCCAGTGCTGTAATGTTCACAGTAGCAGACAGCCTCATCTTTCTCCATCTGGTGGGTTGAAGCCGCAAGCCTTGCAGTTGGTAGCTATGTGCTTGACCACACCATCAGGACTCTTCCTTAGAGGTATCAAACCATTCTCATGGAAATATTAGCAAGAGCTCAAGGATATGAAACCGACACCGGAAGCACTGTCATGCTGAGAGTTTTTGGAGCAGAGAATGGGCTCCACTGTGACGCTTCAGAGTCCAGAAGAGGGACTCATCTCATGGTGGCCCTGTGTGTGTGTCAGTGTGCAACTGCTGCTGCATGGGGTTTTCAGGGGCTGGTCTTTTGGAAGTAGATCCTCCAGTGCACCTGTGGGTGGGTTGGTACCACCCACATTTTGGTTAGACTACCACCTTAAGTACCCAAGCACTTAAAGGGGGTGCTAAATAGATTGAGTTGAGTCGGGGTGGGGAAGCTCATAGCAATGGACTAAAATAGTGGTAGAATGGATACAAGGCACCTTAGTAGGGGTCAAAGGAATCAGGCCAACATGTAAATCTGTACATATGTGTGTGGTAAAAGAAAATGTGCCCTCTCTGTTCTAGAATGCTTGCACTGTCCACATAGCTGGAGCACAGAGAAGTGTGTTGATAAGTATTAATCTAGAGAAATTTGGCCATCTATAAGGAAACAAGATTATAATGAAAAGGTTGGACTGTTTGGTGGGGAATTCTAAGAGCCAGTGAGTTCTCCCACTTAATTGCTTTAAGAATTCTCAAGAAAATGCTGTAAACCTCTGTATGGGTCAAATCTTAGTGTTCTGTGTTTGCAGTAGGTTCCTCAGAATATGAGCCCAAAATAACCATTTTTTAAAATTAAATACTCCTTGAACATATAAGGGATCAAGAGAAACATTGAAAGTGCTCACGGTAAAGGAGATGGTCTCAAAAGAAAATGTGTGCATAGAGGCCACAAGATAGGGTAGCAATATCTTTTCAATGACGAAGAAAGCTGTCAACCCAGAATTAAGATATCCAGTGGAGATAGTCTTCAAGAGGGGGAGCTAAAAGAAAGACAGGTCAACACAACAACTTGCATGTGAATGTTGGTAGCAGTATTACTCATGTT